AAAAAAAAAAAAAAAAAAAATTGTTTTGTACAAAAATGTAAGATAGACATTGGGATTGTGAATGGATACAAAATAAAAATGTAACGATTAAATTTGATGTGATATGAAATAATAAAATGTTAATTGATATGATTGGTAGTTAGAAATATGTGAGTGAATGAAGATTTATTATCATTACTTTGTTTGTGGGAAATATATCATCACAATAATTATTTTTATTTATTATGGGATTGTACATATGTCCATTTGCCAAATGGAGCTGGAAGAGTCGTTGTTGACAATTCTTCTGGCATAGTGCTAATAATGGACTAGATCAAAATGGCTCAATTAAATTTTAGTGCATCTTCTATTAGTGAAATCTAGAAAAAAAATATCCCAAACGACGCAATGCACCTTGGTTCGCTATGGAAACAGTCTCCTTATATAATTACAAGGGTAAAGTCTGCGTACAACTGACCCCCCAAACCCCAACCCGTTCGGGAATATAATGAGTATGCTGTTGTTGTTGTTGTATGGGATTGTACAGTAAAAATTGAGATGAAACGAATGTTATTTTTCGTGAAAGTATTTTGTCTCAGTCTTAGCTTCAATGAGATAAATCTTTGACTGAACAGACAAATGAAGAAAAAATATATATATCCAATCACACCTTAATATCTCGTATAAATTTCATCATGTAATCTTGAAAATATTGAACCCAGTAAAGTATACAATTGAAAATTACGTAAGAACCCAGTTTTCAAGAACATACAATTTTATGTCAAATGTATGATTATGATAATATTTTATTGCATGTAGGAAAAAGAAAAGAAAACTATTGGACATGACAGCCTAATAATAAAGAAGCAAAAATTTGAAAAATAATAACACTACCAAAGTTTTATTTTGGTTCACGATACTCACTTTAGCAGCATAACACGCTGCACTGAAGAGCAGCCTTTCGTCGGTAATAAGACCCTTCTCCTCCAATCTTCTCTTTATCTGTTCGCGTGCACCAATATAAATAACACCATATACTGAGGTCATCACAGTCTGTTTGACAAGTTTTCTATCCACCTGATAAAGCTTTCGAACATTCAAGTTCTTGATATGCATGATATGTCCTAAAAAGTTGAAAAAAAA